TACAAGCACAGGCAGTGAAGACTATAAACTAGGCTCTAGCGCAGGACCCAACGCCATAGCGCAGCTCTTGCCTCAGACAGTGATACCCAAGCAGGAGATTTTATAGGGAGAGGTGGAAGGAGAAGCTGGGAGCAATGTGGAAACCGTGCTGAAAGTGAAACGGGCCCTTTCTCTTTGCAGAGGCAAAGCACGGCAACCCCCTGCCTGTAGCCGGATCTGTCGGTCACACTCTTTCCCGTCCGTGAGTCCAGCACCAGGTACCAGACTGCAGCAGGAGCCTCCCCACTGCTCTCCCCACTGCTCATTTCACAAGTGATGGGGGTTAATGCTCTTTTCAGTAGGACCGAGACTGTAAGCTCTTTGGAGCAGGGCTTCCGATTGCATTCGTTATCACCTAGCTCAGTGTGATCACGACCCTTTTAAAGCCTTCAGCCGCTATCTTCATAAAATCAAATGCCTTACACAGCTCCTGGTAATCATTAATGAGTACAGCGTGTCTTGAATTGTCAGTATGAAAAGTTCTATTCCCATTAAAAATTTAATTACACTCCCATTTCTCCTGCTGCATGTTAAGTTTTAGGAAGAATATCTTCATAACCCTTAGCACCCCAATGCTTTCTTATTCCACACAGATGGGTCTTGTTCCACGTAGACCAGCTAACATTTAATGTTGGTCAGTTATTATTTGTGATCAGGAATGCCAACATTTGGTTATTTTCCATAATTTCCAGTATGTCTAGGGTCCAGTTGTGAGTCGTTTGATGCATCCTCTACTTTGTGTGCCCATCTAACGCAGCTCCAAGACGGCAGCAAGGATCTCTGCGTCAGACTGTGGCTGCTGGGTCTGGTAAAACCCACAAGTGGCAGGAAGCTCAAGAAGCTGTTGACTTACCAAATCACTGCTTTGTATCTTCTGCAAACGTATTTGGAAGAAGCAACAGTCCTAACAAAAATGCCAAAAAAACCTTTTCCTGGTACACAGATACAATTTTGCTGTAGTTTTATCTATCTTTGTAATGTCTGCAACCTAAACTTCAAAGCTCTAAATTAGCAAAAAGAGGGAGAGGCAGGTCTCCTGTGAGGCATGTATTTTAAAAAACGTTTGTAATTAAAACATAAGGTGCTTCTACACTTAATGTAAAACTTCATAGGCAGGAGGTGACCAACTATTAACCATGTTACAACTATTTAAAATCATCCCAATAGATGACTATACAACCTCGAACTTTTCTAAAGCGCAGTCGCTGTGGTACGGTGTTTATTTTGCATAAATTGAACCTCATTAGACAGCAGACTGCCGGCTTTCTGCAAAAGCTATGCTCATCTGCATAAAGGTCCGATGACCTCCATCGGACAGCTCTTGAGGGGTCACGGGCGGCCGTGCTGAAGAGTAGGACACAACGGAGAATTCTTAGTTCTGCCACATCGCACAAACCTCTCAACCCACGTGCGTCCCCGTCCATGGCAAAAATGAGACGGCGGTGCCCAGCTATGGCTTTGTGAGGCCTATTTCACGAACGCTCGTGCAGCACTTTGAGACCCTCGGGTGGAGGACCCCATGGACATGCAATCTCATGGACTGAAAGAGAAGCTGGGAAGAGCATCTGAACCTGCCTCAAAAGGGGAAGACTTTGTACGCAGGCTACCTTTCATTCGTGGGGGAGATTTTAGAGTTGCCGTTCTACAGCACAAGAGAGTGCTGAAAACCATTGAAGACTGGCTTGAATTTCACCTAGGATCACAATGTTTTCTTTTTCCACTGTCTCTGATGAATTTGATCTGACATTATATGCTGATAACTGATTTGAAACAGCTATATCTGGAAACCAGGTTCCACTGCAAGCATTCCTGCTGCACGACAGATGCAACTGTACTTATCTAACATTGCTTCCAGTTCCTCCATCATGTAGATTACATTACTTTTCTAGAAATTAAATGTACATTTATACTCATTAATGGCAAGAAAATAAATCTATGGGGGAAATAAATTCCATATTCTCATATTTCAAATGGACAGTTTGCCTTTTTTCTTTAATTCAAAGTTTTCAAGTTTCTCTATTGACATATTTCAAATGGACAGTTTGCCTTTTTTCCTTAATTCAAAACAAAGTTTTCAAGTTTCTCTATTGATTTCTCCAATGCAAATACCTTAGGGATTTTCACCTTAGGGATTTATTTTTCATAAAAAAGAATCTTCTATGGCTGCAAAGCCCAGCTTTCACTTGAGACTGATGCAATTAACAATCGAAGATATTATCAGATAGAAGACAATAAAATTGTCCCAGAAGAAGCAGTTATCAGACTCAGCCTCCAAGCGTTCAGGTGGTCTGGTGCAGGTTTACAGCAAGAATAATTCACTGTCTTACAAGGGGCCTGTATTAAGGGCCAGAATAGATTCACAGCAAAAATCTCTTTCTGGCTTCCCTATGTCAAACCCCCACTCTAAATTAAACCAATATTCTTATGCAAACATATCCAAGGTTTCTGCTTTATTGGAATCATGGTTTTGTTAACAAAGAGGTTCAAAGCCATCATTTAAAAATATTTCAGCTGTCTGGCAAGATGCCAGCTGCTTTGTCAGAACAACATGAATGGGGCACCTCAGGCGCCTTACCTATTTCTCTGCAAGTTATCCATTTCCTCGCCAATTAGAACATTTGGCTTTATTAACACTGAATCTAGGTCTTATTTTAACTTTATCCTGCACTACAGTATTAAGAGAAACTGCAGAAATATTTCAGAGGCGCAAAGTTACACTTACGTTATCAAGGAACTAAGACTGCGATTGCTTGGATGCATGCTGGCTATTTTCCAGAGCTCTGTTTGGGTACGACAAGAGTAATGTGCATTACGGTAGCATGCACGCTACTGCAATACAGTCAGAAAATACCGCGAAACCTGAATGATAGTATTTCTCCATGAAGCAATTCAGAACACCAAAAAAAATAAAAAGAATAAGTGACACAAGCAAAGAAATTTAAACAATCAATCAAGAAGCACGAATCCATATTCAACCACAAAGTACACCGCATGAATCGAACCGTTACTTTGTTCAGAGGAATAACACTTAAAAAATATACCGAACTGTAATGCTGGTGCATTTCATTTTAGCGTTATTAACAGATTCAAGAATCATTTTACAGTCCAATTTCTGTATTTCAAAACATCTTACGCCACTTTCTTTCTCCAATAGCGTTGAATGCATTCACATATTAACACAGTGCCAACAGAAAGAAGTGAGATCATAGAAACGCAACACTTCTGCACAGGACAGGCATAAAGAAGTCCATAAATGAATTTGCGCTTGTCACTGCTGCCGTCTAAGACTTCAGAAAGGGTTCATGAAACAGCCTGACATTACTGCTAGAAACTAAACAAGAAAAAGGAGGTAAATTAGCAGGATCCATCTGCAGACACATCTGTTCCATTTGGAGAGTAAACAAGCTCTTCCCTAAAATATATGTAAAGGCAGCACAGCCTAACTGTTGTGGCACACAAATGTAATCAAATCATTAACCTGCTTAAAAGTACAAGAAGCAGCAGCACAAAGTTTATACGAATATAAAGTTTATATACCCAGGAAAGGTACCAAAGTATTTTTTAGGATTGTTGCAAACGGGAAATAAACTGCTTCCAGTCTCTCCATCCTTCACTGCCTTTGTAAACCTCGTTTCCTCCTCGCCCTCACCCCTGTTGGGTCAGTTGTTGACAACTACCTGAACCGCCGCTTTCTAGGCTGCATAATTGGCTGTCTTTGTACCTGAAGCTAGAGAACTAGTGGAAAAAGTCAACATCTGCGCAGAGAAACTAGGGAGTCCAAACCTGTATTTTACACAAATTCCCTGCAGGTGCAAAGCCTGAGATACCCTGTTAAGAGTTCTGAAATCGGAAGTATTCACCGCATGTTTTCCCACTCGCCTTAGCCAAACAGGTACTAAGAAGATGAGCAGTTACACCAGAGGATGCAGAAAAGGAAACGCCAAAGAACAGCTCAGCAGTTAGCATAGCTTAAAACCCTTAGTAAGCAGAGTAGCATCTTCAATTTGGAGCACTATCATCTGTTACTGGATATACATGTACATATAAATTACAAGCCAAGGGATGCAAGACCATTACCCTGACGTTGCTGTAATCTAAATATGTGCAAATACGCACGCAGAGGTGCAAAAAAAGTGACATACAGAGCAGAAGTTAATCAACTAAGACTTCAATTCATTACTTTATTTTTTTTTTACATTAAAAAAATTACAACGTAACAAGGGTTTGAAAAGCCAAGTAAACCTGATTTCACACACGCACACACTTGCTAAGTCACAGGGTTCAACCGCTTGAAGTGATATTTTCTGATTTTCATCAGGATTTTATTAAACAATATACACATTAAGAGCCTCATGACAAAGCCAGACACATTTTTTTCCCAATCTTTAAGATGTGCAACTGAATACGCAGAGATTCTTGTGGAACTTCCAACTTTCCCCTCAGTTGCACGAGACACAGTTTTGTTCATTTGACTGCAATTTCCTTGGATGTGTCCACCTAGAAGTTGTCCAGTGTTACACATCACCTCCCCCAAGCAAAGTGAACGTATTACATAGTATTGCACAGTTTTGTTCGCAGGGCCATAGATAATAAATGGATCCCTTCGTAATTTCACCCACCCGATGGTATAAAACCTGATGAAGCTGGAATCCAGATGCCACAAACAGTTACAAAGAAATGGAGAAGCGGGTCACTGGAAAAAGAAAGTATAGCTTCTGGAGTACGTAAACTTTATAATGCAAGGTTCTTCAGCAGGTTGAACTGCTTGAGGTGGGACAGATCATCAGTGCTAATGGCAAAGCAAAAGCAAGAACAGGACAATTTTAAGGCAAGTCCCAGAACAGGGAGCTATTTACTTTCTAGGCACGATTTCAAGCTATGCATCAAGGCTCCTGCGTTATCCTTTATATTGTCGGTAATTTATAGAACAGATTAACAATACAAAAAAAATAGTCTAAATATTAAAGAATCCACTTTTAGCTGAATTTCATTACTTACAGCTTGTATTTCATCACTTGCAGATTTATAAACATTTCTTAGCACTACTGTTGTTTTTCAGGCCCACATAAAGCAGTTCTAGATCTATATTGCTCTCATTTCTTAAAAGTAGTTTTGGTTGGAAAATGGTTAAATTCAAAATAATTCCTTCTATTGCAGATCTTTCTACATTGAAGATCTGTACAAGAAAAAAAGGGGCAGAGCAAGACCTTACAAAGACAACTGTTTTCAGTCAGTTAACTCCAATCTGCAGTACATTCATTTTAATCTCACACAGGAGGATACAGTCACTGCTCCCACTTACCCCTGCACAGAGGACTAGATACAATCCTCCAACACCTACACTTCAGTTCCTCTAGAATCAATGCATTAAGAATTGGAGTTGCATATCTGAGGGCAGAAACTGGCCCACAGCCGTCAGTCAGAAGTGTTGTTTACTGAAGATTTAGAACTTACCTAAATGCCACATGAGATTAATACTGCCAAACACAAGACATGCTTTTGTGAGCCTGGGAAGACGTTTGGCAGGGGTGTAACAGTGCCTCTGATGTGTTATGCTGTTGTGTGCACCAGTCCTTTGAATCACTTGCATATGAGGAATGTGTGCCTGAAGTGGGACACGAGAGTACAGCTCTGTTTATTAGGACAAACTGAAATATAAATTAAAACCGAACAAACCACTATTCCCTGAAAACTGGATTTAGAAGGCTAGGTCTCACTTGAGATCAACTTTCACCATAATGCTCCTCCTTATGATTGACAACGGCACCTAAGTATATACTTTTTATAAAAACACACAGGTAATTCCCCAAACATTTATCAAATAAAAAGGGTTTAACAAAAATGGATAATTAATCTCATAAAATAAATTACAGTAGCATGACAACATTTGGCTTCTTTAGTGTGACCACGTGCTTTTCCTTTGTTATCTTGCTGTTAAGACCATTACTGATCCAGTTCGTGTCTCTGAAAGTTAATGAGATGTCTGTGACGATAAACGTATAAAACTGCTTGCTACAAGCAAATGTCTGGTATCAGTTTCACCTGGTCACAGATTATATGTAGACAGCCTTCTCTGGCCCCAAATAAATATTATATAGTATTCTTGCAAGTTCCAGCATAATTAGACTCAAACAGAAAACTCAGGTCCTCCTTTCTTTGCTCTCAGTAGAAGTCGCCTGATTCGAAATCCTGCAAAAGGATTGATCCACAGGAGTGAAGGCTGACCCCCAAAAACAGATTTCATTCCTTCCCAACGTAGTCTTCGCTCCCATGTTGGCTTTTCACTCTTCAGTCTTTCAATCTCCTGTATATAAACAGACATGCAGTGACACACTGTTAAGTCCAAAGTTTAAAGTCTAATAGCAATTATCAAAACTGATGACTATTTTGCATTCTTTTAATTTATAGCTAGTGAGCTGATTAATTTCTTACTCTTACTTATTTAGTAAGGAAGAAATAAGAATGGCTGATTTAGCCCTGTGGGTACAGGGCACAAGACTTAGAACATAAGATGTGTACAAGAAGATTGGTCTACCTCAAACTGAAAGACAAAGTGACCAGAAAAGCTGATGTTAAAGTAGAGGATCTGCACGCAATATACCCACACTAGAAGTTGTTTACTCACTTAACAAAACCAGACAATAAGGCTTCCAAGAAGGCTCTAGTACTGCAATTACTGAAGCTAGGCTTACCCTCCCAAATGCATTATTTTGATGATCATTTTTTGTATTTCCCACTAATGAAGGCTGGATATTTACCAATTGTTTTTCACAGTTACTCTTCAGTACAGAAGTACACTTTTAAACAGCCTCACATGAGAAAATCCTGAACAGCCACAAGATTCAAATTCCTTATGTTTCCCGTCAATTATCCGTCACAAATCCTCCTCTCAAGGCTTAAGGCTGCAGATCTAAGGGCAAGGGAGCCAACCCTCCAAACTATGGTTATACTCTAATAAAAGTGTATCAAAGTAGAGGAAAGTGTGAAGGCTTGATACAAGATAGCCAGTTCAAGTGTAAACCTGAGAAAAGCAGACATCTCTCATGACACATATCAGGAGTTTGTGATAGTTGAGAAGTGCAAGTCCAGACTGAAGTCAGAAGCTGTGCAATCTTTGTAATCGAAAACCTAATTATAAAATTTATGTCAGAAAAGCAAGTAACACAAGAACTTCTGTTAGAAAGCAAACCCCAAGAAACTATTTCAATCCTTACAACTGTAGAAAACAAAAATTATGAGCTATTTCAGATTTGGGGTTTTCTCCAAAATAAGAGCCTCCCCTCAAGCAAATAAAACAACATCTAACCACATCTTCCTAGAATAATTGTTAGAGCATACAGAAGTAGAGGTCTTTACCGTTTCGTCATTGCATATTGAGTGGATTTGGGTGCCAAACATGACTGCAGTGAAAGTGAGAAACAGAAAACCCTCAAGGCACAAGAAGATCATCAGGATCACAGTTACGGGTGGGGAGAAGTCACTGCATTCTGTGAAAACGACATGTAGTTATGAAAAAAAATTTTAAAAAAAAAAATCTATAGAGCATGTTCATACTGTGACACCCCCTCTTCAACAAACAGCAATAAAAGTTAAATATCTGACACCTGAAACAACATTTCACAATTATAACAAACTTTTAATTTCTAGCACTGCAGCAGCTTTATTTGCTGCCCAAGGAAATAAAGGATTTTAAGGAAGTAACACTTTTGGCTTCCTATACAGCACATAGTACTGCATTACTGCAATCCTGCCTCAATATTTCAAGGATATCAAATAAATGTTTGCACATGAGACGATTTAAGTACTCGGAACTGCACATATATAAAGATGAGCGCAGCTTGAAGTTTCATGCATGACAAACGCTGTAAAAACCATCACCACTGACAGCTCTGACTTGCTAGTTAATCCAGATGTTCCATTTTGCTGCGACTGCTTTAGTATTTTTTTTTTAATTCACCACACAAAGCAATCAGCTTCTGATTTACACTTACAGTCACATCTCTGGAGATCCCCTGATCAACTGATTAGCTCAATTATAGTTAAACAAAGACGAAATGGAATAGTATACAGGAAGCAGAATGTTTCAAGTAAAAAAAGGACTAAGAATCCATCCATTTAATGGAACATCCAGCAAAAACCAGTCACGTGGATTCCCCTATTGCTTCAGGTACCAGGAAGAACATATGATCAACCATCTTCTGTCAAAAGCACAAGATCTGAATGAGCTCTGGCGCACTGAACATTAAGAAATGCAAGTCAGAGCCCTAAACAAACAACTGGGACAGTTTAGGAAATTTCTTTTCTACAGGAGCCCCCCAGTTGGCTCCATAACAGAATGAGGGAGAAATTTGTTTAAGTTTCAGCTGTTGTTCACAGAACTGCGGTGTGACACACAAAGCCCAGCTGGCAGCTTCAAGTAACACAGTGCTGAGGTGGTCTGAGGACCAGCTATCTGTTTCCTTCCTATTACAGAGGTGGTAATTTTTTTACTATGTGGAAAGGGAGTGAGAATGCCCTTGACAGCCACAGCTCTTACAGTGAATGACTACGGGGCGGGCGCGGGGGAAGAGAGAGATGGGTAAACAGGTATGAAACATTTTCAGGACCTCATTTTAAAAAGATCGAAGTCCTGTAATATTTCATACATGGGACTGAAATAGGTGGAACGTTACAACTTTCCCTTAACATCTGCTAGATTATGACAGTGAAAGTTAAGTATTTGCTTACCAGTCCACTGCCCTCGGACACAGGAGAAAAACTGAAACCCACACAGTATGAGCGCATGAGCTGAAATTAGGGCTATATACATCTGGAAATAAGAGAGAGTGCTTACTTTTGACTGCTGCCAGGTAGTAAACCAGACATTCCTTTCAGCCAGCCTTCACCACTGCACAGCGAATATACTTTCCTATTTCAATTTTTAATTCAATACAATGATGTAAAAACAAATTCTAATTAAGCTTGACTCTAAAAATGTGGGCAACAATGAAAGTTTAAGGTTTACCTCCCTAAATCACAGTACCATTTCACTAATTGTTACTATATAAAACACAGCAAAATTAAGATAGTTTAAAATAACAGCACTTTACAAAACAGATTAAAATGTGTATGAGTAGAAGTATCTTCCTGCTTGGAGAATATCTTGCACAGAAGGGGGAAAAAAAACCCAACACAAAACATTTGTGTCCTTAAGCCATTAGTCACTAATAAGCACAACCAAAACTGTTATGATCAAGGTAGATTCATACTGAGATCAAGCTGCTGTTGATTTTCACTTACCGTAAACAGAACAAAAAATCTCTGATTTTTCTCCCCCACACAATTATTCACCCACGGGCAGTGGTGATCCATCTTTCGAATACATCGTTTGCAAATACTAAAGGAAAGGAAGAGAGACTTCTGTTGAGAAACAATACTTCTCATTTTAATGTAGAAACAAGGGTATCCAGTGGTCATAAGATGATGTGCTGCAATCTTTCTTGACGAACTGCAAACTGATTTTATTTGCATTTCTTTAAAGAAACTATTTGCTCACTTACAACTCAGCTTTTGGTTGTTACAAAACTGACTGTGTAGATAAGATCATCTTCACATAAGAAAAAGAGTATGAGAATCATTGCATATCCAAACACACAATCAAGTGAATACAGTAACTTGTTTTAGACACTCGTGGCACCGAACGAGCAATGCTTCAGTTCTTTCTAGATTCAGTATTAAAAAAAAACCCCTTCCCTTCTGGAGAAGCTTTTTCAGACAGAGTAATTATTTCAAATTTACAGACTTTCAAGTTGTAAATTTAGTTTGTGAATCAGGAAAAAAAAAAAGAAATTCACATCTTCAAGAGAGAAATTGTCACTCTTGAGGTTTCAACTGGCCATATAATTCTAAACATATGCAATCAAAATCTCAACTAAAGAACAGCTTACAGTGTCATGCCTCACCTCCTCAACATAAAACAAAAATATTAAAACTATAAGCAGCACACATTCTTTGCCTACCTGTTAATGAATACTTAAACACTACTGTTCTTTGCTAGTTCTGCAACTAATTGCTTAGTTTCTGCCCAGTTTTGAGTAAAGGTTATTACCAGAAAGAAAAGTAAAATATTTCAGTAAGTCCATTTTACATCTGCTAGGCCATACAGCACCAGAGGGCTCATTTCACTGATATTCAGGTCCATCTGCAGTCAAACATGAACAGTTACACAGGAGAAACAGAACAGTTGCAACATGTGTTGAAGTTCTTCCATAAATCAATAGCTTAAGAAATGCTGATGTTACCGTTAAGTCGGCAGATGAAAAACTCTCTAAGACTCTATTTGGAGTTTTAGAAAGCAGGCATTCTTTAGTGCGGCGCCGGGTGCTAGGTGGTATTCCACAAATGAAGCACACCTATGCCGAGATCACCGTTACATTTATACACAAAAATTACAATGATTGGGTAGTGATTTACATATAATTATAATATCTGTTGTGTCATTCTCTTCTGTTACTACGCTTATGCAGGGGAAGGGTCTTCACCTGGGCAAGGGTCTTCTTGACCTGTGGGTGTGTTTTTTAGTATTATAATGAAGGCAGTTCACTTCAGGATACCGTAAAAGTAAGTTTTGTTGCCAAGTTGGCCAGCTAGATATCTACCTTGCCAGGTTGTCAAAACACTCATCCTATATACAATAGAACCTAGGGGCTCTGGTTATGGTCTAGAGGGTCCAGAGAATAGGGACTTCAAGCAACACAGCCTCGGATAACAAGTAACACAGCAACCCCTACATAACGCTAACATAAAGACTAATCAAAATGTTCTTATAGTCTCTTATTCACTATCAAACACAAAATATAGAAAGATTTAATAAAAACTTATGATAATCTTCAACACTGATACTTCATTTTCCTAGCTTTGTGCTTAAGATAGCCACACACTCAAAATGTTCCAGATTTGCCTGCAGAACATCCAAAATACTAAGCATTTTCATTGCAGCAGTTACAAAGCCAAATAAGCCTAAAAAATGCAGGCACTATTATTCAAAACCCTTTGTTTTTAACGCATGCTTATTTATGTACGATATCTATGAGTGCTGCAGTGACAAGCCATGAAGTAAAGCCAGATGATTGTCGCTAGAGTGAAGAAAGGTGGGGTGGGGGTTGTGGCGGAAATCAATGCTCCAAGGCATAAAATAATTTTTAAGTCATTGCATATGCATGATTAAAAGGTAATTCAGCAAGAGGCAGAACATACTCCTGTGCAGGTTATAGGAGAGAATCCCAAATCTCTCACTGATCCTCAGAAGCTCCCTTTGCCCTCAGCTATCATAACCCAGCCCCTACATTCCCACTGCCTCTTGTTTTATGGACATTAAAGATGATTAATCCTCTGAGGCAAACTACTTTTAAATACTGCCAGTTACACGTGAAAATCCCAACACCATAACTAAACACCGCAACCATTCTCTAGTGCAGAAGAAACAGGTATCACTCCAGAGAAGGCATTCAGAAGGCTCTCCAAGAGTTTTTCATTTCACAGCCTGCTCCAAGTTCAGCCTCTCATTAATTTCCCAAGCTCTGTGGGAAGGTGAGCTAACTCCAGTCACCCCAACCATGCAAACCTCCTAACGTAACACAGAATATATACTATCACTCTAAAAAGAATATTAATATGAAGTACTGAGTAAAATCATATCCAGACTCAATGAAGCCAAACACTGGAGGATGTGAGGTGGGCAGGACACACTTTTGCTCATTCAGTATTTCTCACAAGCCCACGCAGAGCTCTCCAAGACATCAGATGTCTGGAACCCTGCCTTCATTTCTAATCTCACACCATGATTCAGCCAACACTTCCAGCCAACAAACTCGCAGCAATGCTGAAAACAACGGTCCTGCCTTCTTCCTACCCCCGTCACTTGTATTCTATTCCTTCTTTTGTCCAAGCACAGATGTTCACGTGGCAAGAGTTTGGGGAAGTCACTCCATTAGCTGCAACTGGGGTCATTTCACTGTGCATGAACACTCACGCCTCGCAAGAGGAAGGAGCAATATGGTAGTGAGAACAAGGAGCTGTGGACAAAGGAAGGTCTTCTCCAGCTTGGCACTGCTGCTGAATGCACTCAAGCAACTGCAGGTGCAATTACAGTTTTGAATGCCAAAGATAACATTCCGAAAGACACAGCTAATGGCTTAAGAGAAATTGGTCTGGATAACAGAAATTCACAGGAAGACTGATGCAAACATCTCAGTGACTTGATTCTGAATAACAGTTCCCCACATGCAAACGCAGGCACTCAGAACAGGCTAGAAATAATGACAGCTGTGCTCCTTTAGTGAAAATGAAATAGCATTCACTCAGGATAAGCCTCATTCTTCCTTATGCTGAAAATGTTAACTGCTTAGTAAAATCTCAGTTTAATGTATTTCACTGAGGCTAGATATTTAGCTGTAAATAAAGGGGTTTTGTTCTTTTTCCTATCACTAATGTGTATTATGAAAATATTTTTCTTCCTCAGAAGAACTTCTGCTGCAGTGTTGCACAACAATTTTCATAACTACATCATAAAAGCCTCTTCTGTTAATAATTTACTACTCAAACCATGCACTGTGGCTTTGAGTGTAACTATTTCCCAACAGGCACCAGCTTCAATTTCCATTTTCAAGTCTCTTCTATCAGCAAATTGCCACTTTGACTACTTGGGACTAGACCATCCTTTTAATGTCCTTGGAATGCGTTTGTAAGCCACTAAAATGTTGGCAGTATAATCAAACCTTTTTTCTATTCAGTACACTTCTGCAGTGCTAAATCTATAGCAAAGAATCAGATTCTGGTAGCTGGTCTATGCAGTATGTATTCAACATTCAAAAAATTACAGAAAAATCCTTTGTTTTACTTAAGAAAAGTTAACAGCAACTACTAGTAGCATGTACTGTATGAGTAACGGAAAGAAAGGCAATTAAACCAGCTATCCAACTGCTGAGAAAAACATGACAGCAGGCTTATGAAAGGATAGCACATACACTTTCAGGCTCTGGCTTTCTCTTTCAGATGTTCTGTGAAGCCAGTTATGCACTGTGCAAGCATTAAAATGCATCCTTTGCCCTTATGTGGAACATCTCGCAATGTATTTTACCAAGGCATAGAAAAGTAAAACAATTCACAAGACGTGCAAAGCTAGATCCCTGAACAAACGGGTTAGTGAAAACAAACCCTTTGAAAGTATCATAGATTTCTTTCGCTATAGACATTACCTATTTTTGCCCTGCTTTAACAATAAATGCCACTCAAATTCTTGCTGTAAACAATGTATTCGAAGTCCCTACTTAGCTTATTTTTATTCTTCTTCCACGAAGAAATAATAATTTTTCAATCAACGCCGCCTTATCTGGGATCACAGGCTACTGGAACATCCAAGATAACACAGTGCCTGCTGTGGATGATGGTCCAGATGTACCCACAGAGCTGCAGCAGCTCTGGGCTCTCCAATATTCCAGCTTCTTTACTCATATGTAGAGTTCAACATAAGATGTCTTCATTTAGGCCTACTTCCAAATTAGTAAATCCTATCGGGACCGAAGATGTGGGAAACACTTTACAAAGATACCTGCAAAGTCTCCGTAGGAGCCAGCCTAAATCTGAGATGAGAAAATTAGCAAGATCCAACCTACGCTCAAGCAGAGGCTCTCAGGTGTCCCTTTACCGCATCCCACGAACACAATGCCAGGACATCTGAACAGACTGCACAAAGCTGTTCTGGGATCCCCAGAGATTAACAGCTTATGTTCTGCCACAAGAAAGCAGCTGCACCACTTCCACCCCCAGGCCCGCCGAGCAATCGGTACAGCTGTGTTCTGTAACACTCTACTAGAGCTAATAAAGCCAGCCAGAACCAAACTCGTCGCACATGAAGGCAGGCCTGAGTTCTGCACCCGTGCAAAAGCTAACCTACAACACAGATAAACTAACTGAAGATAATTCTATACTTGGCTATTTATACATGAAACTTTTCCCTTCACACTCCAGCTACAAAAACCCACTCACATCTGAGAGAAGAACAAGATTTCAGTGCCAAGGCAGAGTATTTATAATGGAAATAGCTTCTCAGCCCTAACTTTCACACAGATAAGTGACATACACTGAGACATTTAATTTAGAAACCACAAATTTACAGAATAATTTGAGAGTCCTGACAAGACTTCACTCTGTTCTTTTGACGGGCACTAACTCCAAGACTTAAATTTAATATGCCACACAATTCAATACACATCACTCCTCACACCTAGAGAGAGCCACCAGAAACATTTACATATTTATGTAAGTCTTAATTATGCAGGCGTATCTATTTTCAACTCTCACACAATAAACATTACAAATGCATATCCACAGTGCCTGAAAACTCAAAAGATTGAGAATTAATTAAAAATGGATACATTTACTATCTCTTCCACAGCATGTTAAGTTCAAACTACCATCAATTCTGTCCTTATTAAAATGAATCTTCAATAAGCAGAAGTGCATTTAACCAATTATGCATACAACTTTGGGAAAATAATCTGCCAATTCACATATAACTTCAAATGACGCACTACAAAGACAAGACGACATAAATTAAAGTGATGGTTTAATCTGTATTTTCTTAATTTAAGATGGCAGGAGTCATTTCTTAAATCAGCTTCTATCAGAAATTTCCTTGAGATTCTTCCCTTTGCCCCCGCATTATCAACAGTACAGCACAATAATTAGAATGATGCACAGGAAAAAATATTCACAGATCAAAAAGCATTTAAGACACCACAGTATGAGTATTTTTAAAACCTCTTGAGTCTCTTGCTTCTTTCCCCTCATCCACATTCATTTTTGGCCACAGTATATCATATTTATAAAATACTCTGCAATGTATGAATTTGAAAGTTTACTGGATACCAAAAGAAATTTGTGGGAAAAAAATTAACACATAAATATCAGGAACATTATTCCAAGACTCAATATGCGTAACTGCTTTAAAGAAAATTATGGCATACCTGCAATGGTGTGCACGTTCAGGTTTGATACTACAGCACTTTGGACATTTGTAGATCACTTCTCCTGGTTTCAGTTGCAAATTATCCATGTATTCTTTAGTGGCATTTCCTTTGGGTACAGCCCCCTGAAATCATTTCAAGGAGAGAAAGCTTCTTAAATGGTATGAGAGCATTTAAAAATACATTTTATAGACTTCATACCAGTAATCTCAGGATAATTGCTGACATAAGTTCATTTACTCAAAGCTAGTCTGCCATAAGCCAGAATCATTTCCAAATGAATAAATTACCTCTGCCTGACCTCAAATTCAGTTTTATTTCAGCAAGACTCATCTATGGCCAAGTGTTAGCATAATTCTGATAGAATCTGCCATCACCAGCATACATAAAATGAAGAGGAAGACACATCTTTATGTGCAGATACAAGCACTACAGGTACAATATTTGCTGAGAAGTTACTCTGAATGAGCACTACTAAAAAAGATGTGCTTTCTTACAGCAGCATGTTAATTGTTGTAACGTTTGGCTATTAGGCCAAGCCATCCACGAAAGTTAAATCAGCAACAACTACTTGAAAGATGTTATTTCAACTCTCTGAATCCAAGATTTAGCCACCTGCCCCACATACACAAGTTTTTGAGAACCAACAGTCATTCTCTTTTCCTTTATACTTAAGCTTTTAGCTTGGACACTGTCACCGTGAACCGCCACTGGCTTCCTTATTCTACATCTAGTATTGTCTGCTGCCTTTTGCTACTGTGAAAGTTTGTGTAGCTACATGGTAAACAGTTGAAGGAACTGATCCAGAAGAAAAACAACCCATCAGGAAAAGAAATGATTCTTTAGTGATTAGTTCTCTGAGCTGTTCACCACAGAGCTGCATTAGCAGCTGTTTCAACGCAATGAGGAAGATGATGAACGGACAGGAAGAGTAGGCAGGATTGCTTCTGCCAGTAACAGTATTAATCTAAAGCCTTGCGAGATGGGAATCTAACTTTGGATTAGTAAGAAGAAAATAATGGAAAGTACCATTGTCACCTTGCTTATTTATAGAGCTAAAGGCATATCTGTGACAGGAAGCAACTGTGAAATAAACCGGGATGTGAAATGAAAGTGCAATGGCCTTTCTGTATCAACTCCTCCAGGCCAGCACATACTTCTCACAGGGATAGCCTTCTCCATGTTGGCTTAAATCATCTGCAACATTCTATAATTATTTCTCATTCAAAAAAAGCCCACTGGCAACGTCATCACTTTACATAGACACCTTAAGGAAATTTTTGGGACAGAATTAACAAACCAGCAGGCACTTCAGATTCAATTGCAAACCACCTTTCTACTTAGGCAGAAAGTTTTTCTTGCCTACTGCCTGGAATAACAATCTTGTGTTTGTATTGCCCGAGCCACAGCCCCAGTTCTGCCCCAGATGAACTCTTTAGCTAAGTGGTGCTTCAAACTTGAGCCAGCTGGCCTTTGCAGGGATACGAACCGAAAGAGTTTCTTAAACACTCACGTCGTATTGCTGAAGTGTTTTCTGCAATATGAATGTTCTCATTGAAGTTAATACTTTGGTGTAAACATGGTGAATTATCTCAGAGAGAACTCCTAAAGCACAAATTTACCTTGTTCCAGGTAAATTTATGCTTAGAAAACACATCTCATTCACCGATTCGCCTGTCACTAAGGACGATAACTTCAGGCCATGCTTTTAGCATTCTGCTGATAAAAATATGGTCTATTTCAAAAACATCTTTCATAGTCTCAGATGGTCACCAATTCCTTTCAATGAAAAATCTATTTTTATAGTTGTAAGAGTAAATTTAATTCACATATGTTTTAAGGCAGTTTATTCCTTTTTTCCTTCAATCTTAGTTTCTATCACCCAGTCGTGTCTTCCATTCTGGGAGTCAGCAGGAAAGGAGTGGAGAAAATCAGGCAGTGATTCATCTCAATTTCTATCATGTTTTATCCATAAAGAACAACATAGGTCTAGAAAGACACACAGTTTTATCAGGACATATTTTTAAGCAATCTATCCTTAAACCATTAACTTTCTTAGCTGTCACAGTCTGTAGAAGTCATAACATTTCATCACTGGGTGTGGGCTCAGAAGTAAATCAAAGACCTAGAAAACCATTAACTACAACACCCTGCTGTTTTTTTGAACACTCCCATAACTTCTATATACACTGTTACTGTCTCAAATATCTGGAGAAAATAGATGTTTTTCCCCTCACCCCTCTCTCCCCAGATTTATTCCCTAAAAAGAGTAATAGATTTTAGTACAAAATAAACAATTGCATCTCTTGAACTCTTGAATTCAAGAGTAAAAGTCCTAAGAAATGAGTACTTTCGAGATCTCTTACACCTGCACTGTTCCAATGCGGGTTCAACTTAAATCTCCCTCCCCACTGACTCCAAATACCTAAACACAATAATGCACGAATCATGTAGGACAGCAGTTCTTACTTTATGTCAATATGTGACTGAGGTTTTTCAGCATGTCTACCTCTAAAAGTTCTTTCATGTGCCATAAATGGAAGGGACATTTCAAATGATACAACAGGATGAAGCTACAACATCTTATGAAGTTTTGAAAACAGATCTGATGAAAAAAAAGTAAGAAAAATTAGGACAGAAAAGACTAAAGCTTTGTTAGCTTCTTCAGAACCTGGGTTAATATTTAACAAATAAACTGTATTTCTCATGAGCCTACCTCTCCCTTATAAATTAATTTTATACTGCCTGCTCCTCAAGTCAAAAATTATTTACGGATTCATTAACAGAACAATAGGAAAAGTACAGATATCATCCCTTCAACTTGAGGGTTCTGCACCTAACACTACTCTTCCTAGCAGGAGGAGACCGATACCACTTCTCCAAATTTCTCTGCAGACGATGAGCTACAGGATAGAACAATCCAACGTCAAGGAACGATCGCATACTTACTGGATCAGTTAGCATAGTTCTCAGATGCGATGACAAAGCTAGTACTGCCAAGCAGTTAAAGAGAACACCGTTGATCACAGAGTACCAAAAGTCTTTGGAAGGCAGCAACATGACAAAAGTCACTACGAAGTCTGCATAGACAACCAGAAGCCATGTCATTATAGCACAGACCATACCACAGCCATCTCGGATGAACCAAACCCTCTCTGCCATGTCGGCCTCTGAGGAAGAGGAATCGTAGCTGTCATTTTCAGCAAGAAGCGGGTGGTGCTCAACATCACGGAACCTGTGCCCTGATGACTGCATGGTTTTCTGGCCTTGCCCTGTAGGAAGCAAAGATATCATTATTATGCGTGAGGAAACTGGAAATACAGGTGGCTCTTGCTTTTTATTTCAGTAAGATAAAACCTATCCAAGTTCAAAATAGATTACTGAGTTTTTTTATTAATCAAAACCTGAACAATTCTATGACTACATAAAGATGAAATATTTCTGTAATCAAAAGATACTAATTTACAAAGTTTCATCAACAATTTTGTAAGCCATTTACTGAGTTTTATAATCCCATAACTCTTTTTTTTATTGTGCAACTTCAATGCTCGACAAACGGATTTTAGCATGGTTTCATTTCCATCTTGCTGTGCCTGTAAACCATTCTTCCCCTTTTGTTAAAAATGCAACCTCTTTCTTTTCTCTCAAACTAAAATGGCACAGTCTTCATTAAATTACAGCTCATGTCTCTCAGAAAACAGCAAATTACGGCACCAGACTGTTGACTTTTCATACTGCTCCAGCAATCCAGGGAAGAGTGGAAGGAAAAAACAGAATGGAAGTAAAGCTGTTGTAGTACGTTATTCACAACAAAAAACAGAGCAAGTTAGAAAGCAGCTAAATTTATTGACAAAAGTGCTATTATGTTGCAAAAAACCCAAACCTGTTATAAAGATGTATTGGATAACTTACAAAACGGTCTCAGATCAGACCAACTTAAGGGCAACAAATGGTAGGGGTTAAATTAGCATGGCAATGGATTACATGAACCAGATTTTCAAAGAACACATTAATTAATTTAATTTAATGAAAACCTCTTTTAGGGCTTTGTTGTTGTTACAATGTGGAACAAAAACAAGACTTGAAACCTTAATAGTTTTCATAAAACCAGAATTATTTTCCAGGTATCTCTAACAAGCAAAGATACGGAACGGCAGAACTGCAGTGCTATCAACAAACAGGAGACAAATGAAAGCTTAAACATTATGCATCAAGAATAGCCCGCTACTTTAAAAGTATACTGTATTCTAAAAATCATATTGATTCATGCTATTAAAGACCATGTCTGAGATAAACTTGAAAGCATTATATTGACTGATGACAGTCACGCAGAAGTCTCTGTTTTTCCCCCTTGTTAATGGTAGCCTGTATATGACTGGTAGGAATTACGGCACTTCTGTTTACATCCCGAGACCTTGAATATAGGATCACTTTGTTAGTCTAAAATGATCAAAGTGACCCTTACCAGGTAACGAGACTCACACTGTGATAGTTTTCAGATGAAGCTATGTATTTCTAAACCCTTTAAAAAACTCTCAGTCCTATCTACCAGGAATCAGATAAACACATTCTGCCCAGCAAATTTTTCTGATTCTTAAGCCTTAATGCTAGAACTAGGCAGGAATAATCCAGGAGACTAGAAATGAAAACAAGTATATGCAAATTGCAGTGTAGAGATCCCAGAGCAACAGTTAAAATAGCTAGCTGAGATACTCGTAGGACATGGTTAAGCGTGGGCTACATTCTCTGGTTGTGAAACAGAACAAACTGAAATACAGCTCTGGTGCTTAGATTTAGTTGCTAACAATGCAATATCACAATTTCTAGTAGTTACACTGTGTTTTCTGTCCACATGTTAGGGTTTTTCGTTGTTTTGTTTTGTGTTTTTTTTATACAACAGTCCCCTCTCTTACCAGAATGCGGCTACTAAGCCATGGATGAAAGTAGTCACATACTAGAAAAACACCTTAGAAAAGAATAAACTTTACCTCCCTTAAAAGCAATTCGAGCTTAACTTAACCTAGATAATGCCCTCTTTTCAGCCACTTTAAGTGATTCTAATCTTGCCAAATGTTTACAGTTAAAATTACAACCTGTGCCAATTAATTTCAACAGCACTTTGGGACATCAACCACCTCTTGTGGTCAAGACTTGTAAAAGAAAAGTCAAGTTTCATGAAGCCTACCTAATTAGCAGCTGGAACATGAAGATAACTAGGCAAAATCAGCTATTATTTCATCAAAAATGGGCAGATAAAACTTTTAAGAAATGTTATTGCCTAACTTTTTCTCTCTCTCAAAAAAAAAGGACCCACAAAAAAGTATGTACAATAAACTCTCAACTAAGCCTTGAAGTGTACAAAGAGCTGACAGCCAAGCAAAGTTATCACGCACACAAAATACCCAACAAATGCTCTAAGAGCCAAACTTCTTCTAAAGAGGTAAGTGGCAGCACTGCAGAATCAGTCAAATACAGAGCATTCACGTTAGTATTTTGTAAAAATATTTCTTCACTGGCAAATTCTGTTTTTGTTAACTCAAATTTTGGGTAAATTCAACCAAATTCACAATGGCAAAAGTACTAGCTTTTTCCACCCCCCCCCCAATTTTATCTTTTTGTTTTAAAAAGTCAATACATAAGTAATTTGCAACATTTTTTCAAACAAAATGACTTTTTTTTGCCCCCACCAAAGAACTGTTTAGAAACCCCAATCCTTCAAGACCTCCTGCTGCGTAGATGTTTTGAAGTGTTTGAGAGAACTCAATGAATCAAAACCAACCTCTCAATTCTGAAACTGCCTATAGAACACAAATTTAGAATTCCTTCCAGCTAAGGTGCAATACCTCAGAAGAAGAAATATACAATTATTTTTCAATCAAGGCAAGTTTTCAGCTGCTCAAATCAACAAGTTACCTTAAATCAGAACAGACATCAAGATTCTGAAAAAAAAAATAAAATCAGTATTTGTGTATGTCACGGCAAATGTGAATTTTAGATCAATTCTGCAAGCAGCTCCTTTAGCATACAAATGAAATGGCACAAAATTACTGTATTCATTTTGTTTAACTGTATTAAAAGACAACCAAGAAATTTTTTAGCACAACAGAAAAAACCCCACATACCTCACAAATGTTTGGTATGTTATTCTGACATCATGTCCTTCCTTTGGGCTATCCTAGGCTATTCACATAGTCATATCTGATGTAATCTGAAAAGACATCATCAACAAACTGATTAGTAAAGCGCTCTTGCTTCACCAGGAAAATAGTGTTAAGCACCAATAATATACTTAGCTAGTAGTACTTTGAAATACGCTGCATGTACTTACAAGCAAACAAGCTTCTGATCAAGAGGAAAACACATTTAGATTAAGCTATCAAAGAAGAAACACTGTTTAGAGTTTTTTAGTTTGAAGTAACATTATATGTCTTGTTCATTGTTTTTTAAGATGAGTTGGATATCCAGATTTTAGCATTACAAACTAACGTATCCAAAAACCTACTCATTTTTCCTGTTTGCCACTCCTGTATGACTAGGAGACAGAATATGCAAAAAATAATCTTTCTTGACTGTCTTCAGAGCTTACAGCAAGGTTTTTGGTAGCAGGTTATTAATAACAAGCATGCATGCCTAGCACTATTTTTACAATTGTAAGGTAAAATAGGAAAATAATTGTTTTAACTCTAATTATTAGACCAAGCTATGGCCAATTTAAAATAAAGAAGATACTAATTCCAGAATCTGTATATAAAATAAAATGGCCCACAACTATCCAAAGGGAATATGCTCTTAGAAAGTTCTCCTTGCTAGAATTCCACCATACAGGCAAATAATTACCATACGACTTATGATATACAAATCAGTATAAGGACTGAAATGCCAGCATAAGCCGTTCTAACCATGCTTAATTTTACAATACAAATGTTCCACGATCTTGAATCACATTCCTTCCTTTTCATAAGGACATAATACTCAAATCCAACACAGACTGTGCAAAGTAAGAGAGCATCAGTTTTAAAAGTGTAGAAGATTTCCTTTTTCATAATGAAAGAAGAAGAGGAGGAACTTATTTTATTTAGAAAACCAGGTACTTCAAAGCTTGACAATTTTAGCAGTTAACTTTTGGAAATCACCACGTGGCATTTGGAGCCAGACTGCAGCACAAAACCTTGAGTTAGATTTCTCTTTGGGGAAGAGAACAGAAGAGGTGTGGGCCTGAATTTCTGACTGGAAAAGTTAGTGACCACATGCATGCTGCACAGAAAGCGCTGCTGCACTGGTTTCTGGCAAATTAAGTTGGGACCCCTGTTCTGCACAACACCACTGACTGCCATTGCCGTTCTCTCACCCAGTGCTACTGCTGCAAACTATAACATCTGCCTGGCAATTAAATCCCCAATACGTGATCAAGGAAGATTTTCTTGCTTTGTTTTATATAGTACAGGATAAAATGACTAGCTTGGAGTAGGAATTTCAAATTTGTGTCGATTAAAGTT